GCTTGACAAGAATGCATGGGGGGCCAATTTTTTTTAACCACCGCAATAAACTAGAACTGGTAGCCTGAAGGCAAAATGATATTCATATTACCTATATTGGTGGCAAAGTACATATATAGTTTAAAAAAGAACTAGACCAAAACATACATCTTGGGTGTGTTTGGTTGCCTGCATATGGCCTAGCTTGGCCCGTGCAGGAAGAAATTGGCCCGTTTGGTTGCCTGTGTTTACTGTATGGCCCGCATGGCATGAAACTTAAAGCACCTCCAGGCCAAGCCCAGGGGAAACGCCCGAGTCGGCAGTAGCTCACGAGCCTGGCTCGGGCGACGCAGGGGAGGGCGACGCGCTTCTCTCCTCGCGCGACCAGGAAGATGGCGCGAACTCGCCTGTGTCGCCGAAAAAACGGCGGGAGGATTTCGGCTCACCTCCCGCCGAGTCCGCCCCTATTTAGCCCCCTCCCTCGCCGCCCCAAATCCCACCGCCATTCTCCCTCCCTTCGAGCTTTCCCGCCGACACGCATCAGCACCGACGAGCAGGTAAGCGGCGGTCCACGGCGTCGGCGGTCCTTCACCAGCCGGCGGTGATCTTCATCGGCCGGCGGTCCACGGCGTTGGCGGTCCTTCACCGGCCGGCGGTGATCTTCTACGACCGTCCCCCCTCGTCCTCAAACTGCAACCATGGCCTTTGTGAGTTCAATCCTCCTTTCTCTTTGTTCTTTCTAGCTAGATCTGAGCTGCAGCTAGGGTTTGATGTAGATGCATGGTTGATTGGTGCTCTGATTTGTGAGCTCATATGGTTGATTGCTATGCTGCGGTTGCGATTGGTGGTATGGTTAGATGTTCAAGCATGTGGTAGGCTAGATTGGTAGTAGAGTTTGAAGGTGAACCTTGTGCTTGTGTTGATTCATACTTAGATCTGTGATTTGTAGCTATTGGTGGTCCATTTGTAGCATGTTGTTTGTTGTAGATGTATGTTCCTGCTCATAGATTGTCATGTATGCTTAGTATGATAGCGATGAACCATGTGCTTAGTATGATAGTGATGAAGCATGTGCTTGGTAGTGATGGACCATGTACATGTATGCTCTTGCTTTTATGGATTGTACGATTGTAGGACATGACCACGCAGACGCAAGATCTTAGTCAGGCCCTTGTCCTGTCCGGCAGTCAGTTTCCTCCATCGTTTGTCGAGGACTCACAACCTATGTTTGAGATGGCACCTGATTCAGAGGTGTTCACGTCTGATTCTGTCTATGTGTCAGTAGTGCTTGTTGAGCAAACTCCTCATGCTGTTGTTGTTGCTGCTGCCGCTGCACTCAAGGTAGCAACAACAAAGGCAAAGAAGGATGGTAGGTCGAACAACATGAAGTGGCAGTCGTTCATGTCCACGTTCGTGCTGAACAAGATGTGTAAGGCTCCAGGGGTTTACAGTTCATGGGAAGAAGCCAGTGCACAAGTGGCATCGTATAACAACAGCAGCCATAGAGGATTCAAGACTAGGCAGGCAGCAAAACAAGCTTACTCCGACTGGGTGCGAAAGCATGGAGGCAGCAATGTTGACAGTGGCAAGGTTGAAGGTGTCAAAGTGGAAGGTGCTAAGGTGAATCGTCAGTTTGGGTTGAAGCTGAAGAACTTCATCATCTTCGCCCAGTTCATCGCCATTGCTGTCCGTGGCGTTGGTGTGCTAGGTGTGATCATTGTGGGTAAGCTCGCCAATTAGGGTACAAGGTAAGCATACCATATATGCTGTATGCAACCAAATGCCGTGTTCATGTGCCACTTGGGCCAATGCAGGCAACCAAACAAAGTGCACTTGCGTATTACCTAATGCAGGGAATCTAGATGCAGGCAACCAAATAACTTGCAGATGACGCATTTGGGCTGTTTTTGCTCAACCAGGCTGGGTCGAGAAGTGTATGTAATGCAACTACTGTTCAAAACTTGAACCAAACATGGCCCTTGTCTACTTGCTTACATATACCACTGAACCCTTGAAACTTCAACGAGTCATTACCAAACCATGGAGGTACTACTGCCCATCAGCTTTTCATTCTTCTTTTTAGTCACAATTCAAGTAACTAGCTGAACATTCCACGCAAAAAAATACAAATAACTAGTTGACAAAATCTGCCAACAAATAGGACCGAGTCAACAGCAGTACTGATCAAACTCATAAAGGGAACCAAGCGACAAAAGAACTGGAGGAGTGGCCGGCCAGCCGGTTGCTCATGAAGATGCAGGCAACAACATTGGCAGCAACGAATTAGTGGCTAAGACACAGAGCTCCCTGTCGTTGGCTGCGTGTGTGGCCCAGAGGACTGAGGTGGAGCTTTTGCGTGAGTCAGCGTGGAGCCTGTGTGGCGGCAATCGCGCCAGATAAGATGGAGCAGCCTAGGGCTTGAGTAGCAATGCCGGGTGAGATGAAGCAACCAAGCAGTCGAGCAGCTGAGTTGTGCATGCATGAAGATGATGGGCGTGTGCGTGCATCAAAACATGGGACAAAGTCATATTCCCTCCATTCCACAATGTAGTGCGCCCGCGCTTTCCGAGATCCAAAGTTTGACCGTGAATTTAACCAACAAGACCGATTGTGGCGGGGACAAAAATTATATTACTGAATTCATATCGAAAATACGAATTCAGTGGTATAATCTTTGCCCCGCCGCAGTCGGTCTCAGTAGTTAAATTTACGGTCAAACTTGAATCTCGGAAAGCATAGGTGCACTACATTATGGAATGAAGGAAGTACTAGTACCTCATAAA